ACCAGAGAAACATGATTGAATGGCGGGGCAGGCTCGAAGGGCCGAATGGCCTACTCCTGCTCCTATATGTTATGTTAAACAACGTTCCTCGATTATCCAGAAATCATTCAAGTTGACAATGATCTGCACCCAATGCACATGGTCATCAGAAAGAAAAAATCAACTTGTACCAAGGACTAGCCAGTCCTAAAAAAGTGAGGAATTTCATTTGCTGGAATACTGGTCAATGGATAAAACTCAGTATCTCATTACCCTTCAACCTCCAAAGACTAAATTGAACCAGGGCAGCTCTCTTCAAAGCACTGTTTGGGGAGCTGCAAAGCTCGGGAATGGAAGCTATTTCTGAAAGAAAAGCAAATACAAAACACAGCTGCTGCTCCCTATAAACCTAGCAAAGTCCATTTGCTTTAGTGCTTAATGCGTCAGGACCATTAACGTTTCTTTCAAACTAAATTTCCACTGAAAAACACATGCTTTTGGTAAAATTCAAATTGGTAAAAATGATTTTCTCCCCAAAGTCAATATTTGGGGAAAAAAAGTCTCCTTATTCTTCCTTATTATGTTTAGCGTATCTAGTTCATTTGAAGCCACCCATAACTCACAATGAACTCTGGCTTAATTTATTCTAAATCAAATTCAATGTGTTTCCTCTCAATAAACAAAGAGCCCATGATAACTTCTTTCTGAATGCTCCCCTTCTGAACATTTCAAATGGGACCTTTTCCACTGTACTGAGAGTCACTATCTACTTCACAAAACAAGACTACACATTTGTGATTTATCTGGCTCACCATCTTAATCTTGCACAATACAAAATCTACCTTTATAATTACCCTCTACAACCTCAATTTACTTTCTAAAATAGATTTTGTAAATAGATCCAAAATGTGGAGTCCAGTCCTCTCGAAAACGAGAGCATCCGGGTTTGATTCCCGGGCTGAGCGAAACCTTAGGCAAGGTTCCTTGCTCCACATACCTCTGTTTACCTAGCAGTAAATAGGAACCCGGCTGTTAGTTGATTGGCGGATCGCTTTCCAGGGATAATAATCCCTAAATAATTTGGTCACTCAATCCATGACCGTTTATGGGACACTGCTGCGTGCAAATAATTGGCTGTCGCATTTCGCCCAAACAATATACAGTCAATTCACTTTACAGTATATCCTGTGAAGCACTTTGAGGCATCTCAACGACGTGATAAGGTGCTATATCAAATGCAAGGATTATTATTATTATATCCCTAAATAGGGCCTCTCAGGGCCAAATCCAACACCACAACAGCTCAATATTTGAGGAGGTGCTTCTCTTGGATACCACTAAATGCAAGGATTCCACATAAAGTTAAACCTGAGATATTCAAGTAACCATTTCTCCTTGAGAAAAGTGACCACATGTAGAAATATTCCATGCATGACTTTGCAAATGTTTTACAAAGTGTCCGCGAACATGTACAAACTTATAAAATATAAATATTGGATTTGCCTCTGTAACTGCTGTTACGATGTGGTAACACTTCACTATTATGTCGAAAGAACTGTCTGGGTTTCCACTTAAGAACAATATTGGAGATGATAAGGATGAAGGCAGACTGAGATGACTGAATACCCGCAGAAAATTGGCTCTTGTGTCTCTCCATCTCTAAATAAATAGTCACTAAACTGCACAAAAAAGTTCTTTGAAATGCTTTGAGACGTTTTGACATATCGTGGCATGCCGAATGCAAGGATTATTATTATATTTTATTTTCCAAAGGATGTCAGGGGATTATGTCTTTGTGAAAGGTACATTATAAAGTTATTGTCTGGATACCTCATTATTCTATTTACACCTACAGCTGCTGAGACTCAGATCTTTCCTCTTTACATCCAAGACACTTGCTGTAATCTGCAGATTCCACTTGTAATGCCATCATTGGGAATATTCATAAATAGCCCTGATGGATTAGTGTGTAAATGTACTGCTTGCCATGGTACTAGCTTTACAGAACAAGATACTTTCAAGATTGACTCTACTTTCTGCTGTGTTAGTTCAGTCGGTGGGGATGGTGGGGGGGGGGGTGGGGGGGTGGGGGGAGAGAGAAACAGGTGGACTCTAATTGATGCCATTGTGAATGGACTTTGTGCTGGAAGAAAAATAGCCTTGAATTCTAGCTCTGAACAGGAATCAATGACGCCTGCTAGACATGTAGATGTGGAGGAGGCACTGGTGGGGAGAAATTCCACTTGCGCATAGATATGCTGCACATTGTGTAGTAAAAAAAAACACAATGCATGGACCTACACTGCACAAACTGCACTCCCTTATTATTGCACCAGCTCGCTGCTTTGCAAAGACCTTTTTTTTACAACAATTCACCAACGCCAATTACACAGCACATGAACAAACAGCTCTCAGTTACTCTGGGTCGTAGCTCAGTGCTACATGACACCCCCCCACCCGAACACCAGTACTGTATTCCTCAGCAGAGGTGCACACTTGCGATAAGTGTAGTGACTGTGCAGACTTATTTGATTAGTCGAGGGTCTGACACATGCATAAACCCATTCAGCGTGCTTGAGAGTACCCAAGTTAGATCCATTATGCCACCTACACATGGACATTTCTGTGCGTCTGGAAGGCAATACCCACCCTGTCCTAGAGGGATACATTCTGCTTACCTAATTCCACTGAGTTGTTAGGTACACAGTATTAGGCGCATGATGACTAGAGACAAGACAATAGAGATGTTAGTCCACCGGATTAGGAATCCATTACCTGGGCTAAATCTGCCATGCTCTACTTCCTGACAATAACATGGAACAGCTGTTATTGGAGGAGGCAGAGGGAGGCCTGGTCGACCCCCCCCAGAGGATCGAATTCAAGATCCTCATCCTCACCTACAAGGCCATTCACGGCCTTGCACCCTCCTACCTCTCCAACCTACTATCCCCCTACTTATCTGCCCGTACCCTCCATTCCTCTGGCTCCGATCTGCTCCACATCCCCCGCCCTAACCGCCCTACCATCGGTGGCCGGGCCTTCAGCCTCTCAGCCCCTAGGCTCTGGAACTCCATCCCCCAGTGCCTTCGCCGCCTCCTCCCTTTCCTCCTTCAAGGCCGGTCTCAAGACTTTTCTCTTCAACCGTGCCTTCAGCTCCCCTCTCGACTCTCTACCCCCTTCTCGCTCCCTCCCTTCCCTCCCCGCCCCTCACCTTGACCATTTCCCCCCTGATCGGGTCCCAACCCAACTGTCCAGCGCCTTGGGACGTCCTCCCGACATGAAAGGCACTGTATAAATGCAATCATGTTGTTGTTGTTGTTGTCATACATGGTCAGGATGTCATTTGTGACCTTGACCAGAGCAGTTTCCGTGCTGTGGATGCACAGAAACCCGATTGGAGGGGCCCATAGAGGGAGTGGGAGGAGAGGAAAGAGTGAAGCTGGGAGGCGACGACTCTCTCAAGGACCTTAGACAGAAAAGGGAAGTGAGTGATAGGCCGGTAGCTGGATAGCTGTGATGGGTCAATGGAAGGTTTCTTCAAGGTGGGGGTGATAGTGGCTGTTTTGAGTGGGGTAGGAACCAGATGATAGGGAGAGATAGTTGATGTCAGCAAGTAGTGAGGCAAGGAAGTGGAGCTAGGATTTAAGGAGAGGTTTGAGGATGGGGTCCAGAGAGCAGGTGGTGAGCTTCATGGAGGATATGGCTGTCTAGAAACAGGATTGGATTTTACTTTGTTCCAAAGGGTGAATCTATTAGTTGCTCCAAAGAGTTAAATTCTGACTTTTTAGTTATTTGGCTTTGAAAATGTGGTGAATCATCCAATTGTAACGTTTGACAAACGATGAAAACTCAAATTCCACAATCCAACAAGGAACTGGAACCAGGTTGAATGATTTATTCCTGGACCTTCTATAACACAATTTTTTTCTCTAAAATTTGCCAAAAAGCAGGAAGACTTACTGCACTAAGGAGGCTTGACATTTTGAGGCAAGTGAAGTTTGCCTGTGTATTGATACAGGAGGTAATGTTACTGAAAGTTTGATAAAGGTTTGTCCATTTTTGTAGTGAATCAAGCCAGGATACAATTCCAGATGTTAACATTCCTGTAGGAGCCACATGCATGAAGCTGGAATGACAGCTTGGCAGATCCTCTAGGCAGCTGATAACCTTATTCTATCAGTAACAGGTGAGCAAGTTTTCTTCTGCGTTCAGTGATTTCCAAGTCAAATATTTTCTGTTAAAAAAATGTTTCACTTATCCTCATACATGTTCAGAGAGAGGCACGCAGTGTATGCAGATGTATATGTATAGAGGCCACAAAGTGAGATTATTGGACACTTTGACTCAATTGGGATCACTCTCATCTCTGGTCAGGAGATCGCAAAGTTCAAACCTACAAATGGGCTTTCAGCTCATAGTCAGAGTAACACTGCAGTGCAATAATCTAGGGATGCTGTGATGTTGAAGTTGTCTGTCGGATCTGATGTCTAAAAGAACACAAGAACATAAGAAATAGGAGCAGGAGTAGGCCACTCAGCCCCTCGAGCCTGCCCCGCCATTTAATAAGATCATGGCTGATCTTCTAACCTAATGCCATTTACCCCCCCTATCCTCATATCCTTTAATCCTTTTAGTTTTTAAAAATCCATCAATCTATGTTTTGGATATGTTCAATGAGGCTTGTCTACCCGTTTTACAAATGGACATTAAAGAGTGAACACAGTTTCTTCAGTTGCCCTGGCTGACAAATCTGCTAATTAGTCATTACCTCATGATTGTTAACGGGACCTTGCTGGCCCATCAACAGTCATGAGCTAAGTGGCTTTCACTGTCAATACACTTGACAGTAGTTACTTGCGAAATCCTTTGAGACATGTTAACATGATAAAGTACTATAACTGCAAGTTCTTTCTTTCTGACAAATCTATCCATCTGTCCCTCCAATCACTATGGAATGGATAATTCTTTAGCTTCTTTACAAAATCTCCATTAATAGAATAAGTATTTATTTTAATTCTTACCTTGTCTTTCAACTTCAGATTTCACTGTCCACTGAGGCTGTTCACAACCAGATTTGGTCTCCTGAAGTCAAGAAAATGTATTTTAGTAAATTTGAATACCACTTTACATGAAGTTCAAAGTTCTTAAATATCACAAGTAAACTATGATTGTCTTGCTGAGCTATATTGCTAAAACAATTGAGTTCCAATCCCTTGAAACCTTACTCAAGCCTAGAGTACTTGATACAGTTCTGGTCGCTATAACATAAAAGGATTCCACAGGCCCAAGAGGTAGTGCAGGTAGAGGAATGAGCATTGGTGAGCAATGATTACACAAGGCTGGGGTACTTCAATCTTGAAAGAAGATATCTGGGAGAAAACCACATTAAATCAGATTGAGAAAATGAATCCAGAACAATATTTTTCAAATCACCAAAGCAGCAGGTTGAGAGAACATAGCCTTATGGTTGCAAACGGCTATTACAGGACAAATACCAAAAAGTATTTTCTCATCCAGAGAGAAAGCTGCGATTCGCTTCCTTTTAATATCATGCTCCATTTGCAATTCCAAGCAATTCCACATTATAAGATATGCAATATGACAATGCCACACCCTCCTACCTCTCTGACCTGCTGATTCCCTACCAACCTGCCCGCTCCCTCCGTTCAGCGGACTCCGTCCTGCTCCATGTCCCCCCCAACCCGCCCATCAGTGGCCAGGCTTTCAGCCTCTCTGCCCTCACACTCGGGAACTCCATCCCACAGTCCATTGGCTCGCTTCCTCCCTTTCCTGTTTCAAGGCCGGTCTCAAGATCCTCCTCTTCGATCGTGCCTTCAGTCGCCCTCCAACCCCTCTGCCTTCCCTCACCCCTACCCCACCCCTCCCCCATGCTCGGGTCCTGATCCCTGATTGACCAGCGCCTTGGGACGTCCTCCCGACGTGAAGGGCACTCTAAAGATGTAATTTTGTTGTTGTTGTTTATAAGGCTGTACATAAATGCTCTACATCAACTTGCTTTAAGTTTTTGCCAGGTTAGGCAGAGTGTACAATAAACTAAACTTCAGGCAGTTGCATAAAGATTGCAACAGAACCTCACAACTTCCTGGCATGAACTCTGCAGAAAGGATGAAGTCAATGCCAAAAATGCAGGGGATTTAAAAATAAATGGAACTATCCCCAGAGTGCACGCACTTATACTTCATTTGAAAATTACTAACTTTTTAAAAACATTACAAATGTGGCATGCAATTTATGTGTTAGAAGGCATATTCATCTTTAAATTTAAGGTTTACACTACTAACCCACCAGTTAAGATGTCACTTTCAAAGAATTCCATAGCTATTGCCATGAACAGCAATGCAATAAAGTAGCAAAACAGCTTAATCTTTTCCTTTATTGAAAAAAAAGTTATTTTACCCTGCGAGTTGACAGTATCGTTGCAGCTAATCAGTGCAAGGGGCAGAGAGAGAGAAAAAAAATACACTCTGCTAAACTACAGCAAAATTGAAAAAAAAGTTTTATCACAGAAATCTTCTGCAGTTGGACATTTAGTGTCCCAGTGATAAATGAGGGAAAAACCAACGATGATGAAATCTGGTTTAAAAAAAATCTAATATTGGTCTAATCTCCCCCCCACCACATCCCCCACCTCCCTTTGTGCTTCATCACTGTCAAGCGCTCTGGGATGTGTTGTGAGACACTACTCTGTGTGAAGGGGGCGATATAAATGCCAGTTGTTGTCGGTAATTTCCATCACAACACTTGAAAGCAATTCTAAGATGATTGAAAGGACAGAGGTTGTACTGAAGCTTTTTCGACAACCAAAATTGGATTTTTATACCTTGAAACCAACCTGAACAGACACAGACATGTCTCGCAGTAATTACAAGCTAATGTAGGTATTCCCTGTTTCAACGTAGTTATCCTGATCCCTTAATCCCATGTGGAGCAATCATCAGCTTTTCTGAACATGTTGGAAATGTTTCACATCAGGAGTACTTTTATTGGAACCTTCAATGTCTTGCCAGATAGAGGATTTTGTGTTTTTTTTAAAAAAATCCCTGAGGGTAAATGGGGTTAAGCTTCTAAATTAACTGAAACCTCTACACTACAAACACTTCGCTGAACTCAGAACTGCAGCTATTTCCCTGGATATATGTGCACCACATTGTGCTTCTGAGCATCAATCTCAGCAGGAAAACTGCAACTCAGGAACCTCCTGTCAAAATGCCAAGAATTTTTTCATACTCTTTTCACGACCTGGTCATTAAACGAGTCCTCTCAGGCTAGACTACATTTGTTGGCGGGCAGCCCTGACACAGTCCACAACCCTAACTGGATGTAATAAAACCCTTAAGAGTGGGATAACCATTTTCAAAGGTTGGTTCTCCTGAAATTTGGCTCAAGTCCAGCCTCGATCAAACTGACCTCCTTGGATAGGCAATAACACTCTCATCCCCATAAAAAATTCTCCACTTTCCAATAGTGAGACCTTCTCCAAACATTGGCCCTCACCTTCTCCCCTCCATTCATTTTTGTATTTGACATGGCCCTCTAAGGATGGCCCCAGATTCCTTTAAAGCATAAAATAATGGTCAGATACAAATGTTCATTGGTTCACGTCTCCAGATGACAATTGCTTCTGAAAATTGTGAATATAAATGAGCCATTTGCTTCAAAGTTCAAGTAGATACAGTAATGGAATCCATGTAGCTGCCCATCTCTCCTGTAAAGTAAGAGATAAATATCAAATGAACAAAATCAAATGCAAACCAATTTGCCCCCCCCATTCTGGTCCAGAGTTTTAAGGAACCACTCAAGCTGTTGTATGATTGTATGAAGGAGGAAACAGTTGATCATTCGTTTCATGGCTGTTTGTGGGATATTACTGTGTGCAAAATTGGATGCCATGTTTGCCTACAAAACACAGTCACTCTATTTCACAGTATATCCGGTGAAGAGTTTTGATTCATCCTTTCGATAAGGTCCAATATCAAATGCAAGTATTGTTATTATTATTTATTATCTTCAATATAAAACCAAACTACAGATTGCCACAGCTTTTCCATATACAAATCAGAACTACCTTATAATAACTCGTAAATCACATTCACATAATCCCTGTAGTCAATTCACAATTTGTTTAACAGGGATTTCCAAGGCCATTCCTGAAACATCTCAGGTATCTTTTTAAGATATTATTAGGCAGATCCCCAAACTCCAAATTTGAGATCAAGCTTTCTTCTACTCAGGAAACAAAACATATCCCTGTTCCATACAACCATCATGTTCACTATCACAGCATGTGCAAAATGGATACAGAAGAGCAGGGAGCAGGACAAGAAGAGGCACTAACAGTGTCAGTTAGTGTCCTCAGTTGACGTCAACAGGGGGCAACGTAATGAACTGTAGTTCTATTTGAGGCAGATCGACTAATTGGATAGTTGGTTTATCCAACACCCGCACAACTGGAGATCAGTGGTCCTGGTATATTGCTGGAGGAAATATGGAGCAAAATTACAACATCTTCCACAAGTAAAGGATATCCTTGATCACAGGACAATTCTGGAAAAGAGATTGCCTAGATCCAAGTGAAACTACAGTAGAATCAACATACTATTCAAAGCAACATCACTGAATTAACCAACTAATCGAGTTCAACGCTACCTTCTATTTGTATCTCGCAGACATGTTACGCCGGCCGGCCTGGAGGCTGACCCCACTTGAAATCTGTAGTCCTTCACTCAAGGCTTAAAATTCTTGAAACATACAATTGTGTTCCTTTAGACTGCATTGCGCTAGAGGAAATTAATGGCTTGGAACAGATAACAGGCCTCATACCAGTACTGACCTGGATCAGAACAAGCCATGTCAGGGGAGGGGAAGAGGAAGAAAACATGCTACAGAAACACTTTGGCCATGAAACCAAGTAAGAAATATGAGAGGAAACCATAGCAACCAAAGGGAAAACACTCACAAGCCAGATAAAACTGGAACAATTACAAAAGAACAAGAAACCATCAAAGCCCTATGACTGAAAATTGCACAGTGCCAAGGAAGTAAGGCTGCACGTTATTGTAAAGTGGCTCTGTCCAAGATTATACCCTAACAATTATACACTCTAATTGGTCTAATGTAACCCAGATCTAAATTGACTAAGTCACTGCAAAATGGCAAACTGTTTCAAGAAAACTCATGCAGCACAAAGAAAAACAAATTACGTAAACTCATTGTTCATCAAGAAAAATACTGAGAAAAAATGTTGAATTCGCCACAAATATGCATGTTTAGGCTCAAACAATTTTTTTAAAACAAATCAAATGTTGCATCAATCGACAGCAAAAAAACGGCTTTAACCCAATTCTTTTCGAGTAATACACTCTGCTTTTCCTAAATACTGGCAAGAGGGGAAGCCCATCCCCATAGACATTGTGGTGAAACACAGCTCTGGTAATAATGAGCTATAATTAGTAACGGACTTAACTTTACAGGAAACTTTCATGTAACAGCTCAATTGGAACTGCAGGTTTGCCTCACAAGGGAAAGAGAGAAACTACTTCACTGAGAATCAACCCATAAGTAGAAAGTAAAGCTATGCAACAGAACCACTGAAAGTGGCACAATCCAACTCACGAATAAACTACATCATGTTGCAGTCGGGGGTCATCTGAACTGCTCAATATAGATTACTACACCAATAACAAAATTACATCTTATAGCTCCCTTCATGTCGGAAGGATGTCCCAAGGCACTGGACAGACAGAGTTATGGGCCCGAGCTGAGGGTTGGGGTGGAGGAGGAGGGAGGGCAGAAGGGGAAACAGGGAGATCAAAAGCACGGTTGAAGAGGAGAGTGTTGAGGTGGGTCTTGAAGGTGGCGAGGGAGGGGGGTGAGACGGAGGGACTGCGGGATGGAATTCCAGAGGGTGGGCGCAGAGTGGTGGAATGCCCGCCCGCCGATAGTGCGGCGAGCAAGGCGGAGGACGTGAAGCAGGCCGGAGCCCACTGAGCGGAGGGTGTGAAAAGGATGGTAGGGGATTAGGAGGTTAGAAAAGTAGGGGGGAGCATGACCATGGAAGGCTT